GCTGTTGTTAAACATGGAATTATTTTAGATCGGGGAAAAAATAATCCTTCAAATCGATACACTACACGTTTTGATTGTTTTCCTTGGTAAAATCAGCAGTTCCACAGTTTCCTTTAGGGATATAACTGAGTGCGGGTTCTCGATTTGATTATTCATAAGAAGAAAGATGACTTTAATGAGTTTTGAAATAACCATGGTAGAAGAATAACAAAAGTGTTGACAAAGTCTGGCATATGCAAAATTTCCTCATTTCGAAGTAAATCTTGTCAAAAAGACATTTACTCAGTTTAACCCTGCTTCTCCATTCTACCAGATTCTCCTTCCTCCAAGAACATAAAGCCCCTGAAATCTTTGTGGAGAGAGTGTGTATTCTTAATTTAATTTGCTAGTAATTAAGAAAATTATAGTTTATTGAAAACCGTATACCTTTTTCCCGTTCACTGTAACTGAGATGTTGCTCTTGCTTGACAAGACTTCAATTTGCAATATTTTAATCTCATCGTTGTCATTTGATGTGGCTGTGATTTCACGATCACTTGGGGGTGCTGGTGTACGCACGTGATCTGTATATATTGAAGTTTAATATTATTAACACTACACTCACTGGTTTTGGAATAGATCAGACCCCTTTGGAATAGTTCGTGGGAATGCAACTCCAAGTGGAGGACAAAACAATGGATTCAGTGGATTCTAGTTCCGAAGAAGGCAAAAACCTTTGTTTTATCGTCCTCCAGATAAATCAGCTTTGACGTCAAATGGAAGGTCTATCGAACACAATCGTACTGGCGTAGCTGTGAAAAACCGTAAAGGAATAAACAGTATTGACTTGATTTCTTTTCATTCAAATTCCAAAAAAACCCTTTGCGTATTTTATCATCATGTTTATTTTTCGCAGACGAAGTTCGTCATAACTCTACGCGATACAGTATTTCACTCTTTCATCACGTCACCTGCACTCCAAAAATCACAATTCGATTGACTAAAGTTCTATTTCCAAATGTTCGAGTCCTGTTCGATTGTTTTGTCTTTGTTGTGAGTACGATGTGTTCTATTCCAAAACCAATCATCACGAATCAAACCGATAGACTGCCAATTGACTACACCGGAATATAGACGATAGTATCACATCAAGAGATCACATCTAACATTTTTTTTGTCTAATGTAGGATAACACCCATTTCCACGAATTAATGACATAATATAAGATTGATTGTGGTAACTTTTTTAAACCTAATAACGCAGATCAATATCAAATCAAAGCTTTATGCTTGGCTCTAGCCTGGGTTTTTTACAAGATCCTCGCCCATTATCTTTTTGAAAGTCGTAAGATGCTTATTTTTTTAGGGAGCACTCAACTGAAACACTTTAAAAATCTTTCCAAGTTAACGAAGCGGCTTGTGACTAAAGAACGGTTTTTGCAGCGAAAAAAGAGCTTTTATATTTGTCAATACACTTTACCCTGTCGACTTTCGTCCAATTGTTTCTTGTCTAACAATTCCACACGTTCGCTGCTGTGCCATGGAAATCCAGAATTGACCTTTGTACATGGACCATTTGACTTAAGAATTAACAATAAATTGGCCAGGAAAGTCGTGAAAACAGCTAGGAAAAGAAGCGACTGTAAAAACCGCACACCTACTTTTACCATGGCTGACTATAACGC